ATTCATGAAGTGTTGCAACCGTCTGATGCCAGGGCATTTTTACCACTCCAGCCAGAAACCCTGTCCTCAGAAGAAGCTGCTAAGTTTTCCATGGTCAGCCCTCAGTCTAGTTTCCGTCTTGATGGATTTGCCCACTTGAGGCTTTCACATAAATGGAAACATGAAATACATTGCTCTGCGTATCTTTTTTCACTGTGCAGGGACAGAGTGGTTGCAGGGGTGATCAGGCCTAATGCCAGCAGTGGGAGGACACAAGTTCTTGTCTCCTGCTCATGAAGAATCAGGGAAGTGGGAACCAGCAGTTAGCGTAATGGCTATGTCGCTGGACTCCCATGTAGTCGACTGTGGTTCGCGTCCCGGACCCGGTGGCTTAGAACTCACGTCGGACACACGTGTGTGCATGCCCAAGATCCCGAGAGGAGAATGGAGGAGAAGGGATTGCAGCGTGACCATCCCCCATGGGGGGTGATTTCTTGCTTTCTGTTTCTATGTCTCTCTCTGTCTGTCTGGTGAGCACACGCGCCCTACAGTGAAAACCTCTTAAAAAAAAAAAAAAAGAATCAGGGAAGTGATTCCATTTAGGACCTAAACCCTAACTATATTTTTAGGGTTCCGGTCTATGACCTCATTAGTATGTTCTGAAGTTTTCTCCATGTTGTAGGGTATATTGGATCCCTATGCTCCATGGCTAAGTATCATTTGACTTTATATACATATATGCCTATTATCTATTTATTATATTAATTATTTGGGCTGCTTCCTTTTTTTTTTTTTTAAAGCCGGAGGGTTTGTTCGTGTGGGTGAGAGAGAGAGAGAACACGAGTGCAGCCCTTTCAAGGCCTGGCATACTGTAATCCCTTTACTTCCAATCTCCATCCCGTCGGGATCCAGGATGGACACTTACATGCACGTCTGAACACTAGGACCAGGACTGGAACCCTGACTGGCTCTGCGGGCTATGGCTTCCTGTGCATAGCGCTTAACCACTGTGGCCCAGTGCCAGATCGCTCTCTTTTTTAAGTTTATCTTATTCATGAAAGAGAGCCTGTGTGAGAGCAGTGGGGGATGGGTACCCTTGACAGAATCTTGTGATCGCCCTTTTCCCGGCCTTTCAGCTCAGGAGGACATTGGGTGTGCGTGCCCCTGGCATAGTTTCAAGTAGACTTGGGATGAGAATCTGTGGTCGGTCATGTGGCACCCAGAACTGCAGGCTACCAGCTACCAGCTGTCCCACTGAGGCTGGGCCTATTTCCTCCTTTTGGCTGGTAAGAATAAGGCAGCTATGAATATTCTTATACAACTGTTTGTGTGAATGAATGCTTTCATTTCTCTTGGCTATATATGCCTAGGAGTACACTGCTGGGTCCTATGTAACTCTACAGTTAACTTTCTGAAAAACTGCCCCAATGTTTTCTCTTTTTTTTGGGGGGTGGGGGGGTGAGAGGCTTTTGCTATAGGGTGTATGCGCTCACTAGAAAGACAGAGAGAGACATAGAGACAGAAAGCGAGAAATCACCTCCCAGGGGGAACGGCCACGTCACAATCTCTTCTCCTCCATTGTCCTCTTGGGTTCTTGGTTGGGCATGAACGCACACGTGCCTGGCGTTAGTTTAAGCCACCCAGTCTGGGACTGGAACCGCAGTTGACTACATGGGAGTCCAGTGATATAGCCATTATGCCACCTACTGGTCCCGAGCCCCAATGTTTTCTTCAGGGGCTCTACCATTTTAAATTCCTAAGAGCAGACCACAAGGAACGGGCGGTGTGTTTCTCCACAGCTTTGTCAACACTTGCGACTGTCCACCTTTTTGATTACAGTCACCCTCGTGGTGTGAAGCTGCAAAACACTGCAGTTTTTATTTGCATTTCCCTAATACTGGACTGTCAGAAAAGTCACAACGCAGAGCTGGCAGGTGGCGTGGTGGTTAAGGGCGATGGATTCCCACATGTCCAACGGCAGTTTGAGTCCTGGACCTGGCAGCTTGCTTTCTCTCTCTCTCACTCTCTTTTGAGTGAGAGAGAGAGAAATAAATAAATGCATAAATGAAGTTAAATAAAATAATTCTTTAAAAAAAGTCACGATGTGTTTTTACACAGAAAAACATGGAGAAATATGTCACAACTTTTCCGACAACCGAATAGCTTGTGATGCTGGGCATCTTTTCATCTGCTCACTGGCTTTTGTATATCTTCTTGGAGAAGCACCTGCTCAGATCTCCTGTCCATTAACAATTGGTTGTCTTGGGCTGGTCCCAGATCCCACACAACCATCCACAGTTTGAGACCCAGGCCTGGCAGCTTGAAAAACATGCTGGGTGTGGGAACAAGGGATGGAGGAAAAGTGACCGTGGGGTGACCATGCCCTGATGGGAAGCTTCCTCTTCCTGGTGAGTGCACACACCCTCTGGAGAATATTTAACAAAACAAAACAAAGCAAAACAAGGATGTGTCTTTGTTGTTCATGAATTATAAGTTATATTCTGGATTCTAGACCCTTATCAGATGTAAAATTTGAAAATATTTTCTCCCTTTCTATGGGAGGAATGTTTTAAAAGGACTTAGCCCCAAATTAGTGAATTAGTACCTGTTAAGTTATAAGAAAAAGTCTTCCAGGCGATTCTGATGATCCGCCATCCTCGGGTTATCAAGGATTCAACCCAGTGTTTTTCGAACTCTATGGTGTATACAAATCACTTGGGGTCTGAGCCCCACCAGTAATAGGTTGTCAGGAAAGTTGTGTCATATTTTTCTGTTTTTCTATGCAAAAATGTGTCAGGACTTGCCCGACCACCCGGTAGGATACCACAGTAATAAAAGTTGCACATAGACCCACTGATCAATGTTGGAAGTCGTGGGCAAATGTATCAGAGAGAAAGGATATCTGCCCATCATCAGCGTTATCTGCAAATGCTTCTGAGTGACAACAGTGACGATAGCGACTTCCCAGTTAGCAGCCTGGCAGAGCTCACTACATCACGTGAGCAAGGTTAAAGTTGCCAGAAATGAGACATGTGGGTACTGATGCACCTGCTCAGAAAAGCTCATCACCCTTGTGGCAATCGCCTCAAACTGCTAAGCTCAGCCTAACCACAGAAAACATCAGACAAACCCAAATCGAGGGACGGTTTCCAAACTGACACATGAAACACCTAACCAGCACTCGTTACAAGTATCAAGGTTGTGGGGAGACAAGAAAGACTGAAACTGTCACAGAGAGGGGGTGATGTGGAGACACGGTGCTCACCTGAACACGTATCCTGGACTGACCCTGAACGGAACAGGACCTCAGTGAAAAACAGGTGAGACCTGCACGGTCTGCTACGTTAGTGGCGGTACCAGTGTCTGCTGCTTAGTTCTGTTCGTGGCACCGTGGATAAAGAACACGCTAACGGGTGAGTCAGCTCAGAGAAGGCTACCCGGGAACTTGCTGTACTATTTTTGCAACCCTTCTGTGAGTCTTAAATGATTTCGAAATAAAAAGGTTTTTAAACTATGAGGATTCTGATACTCGTCTGGGTGGGAGTCCAGATTCTGCCTTCTTACAAGTTCCCAGTTGACGATGCCATCTACACACCTTGCTCTGAGCAGGAGGCATTGAAATCAGAGGTTCTCAAACTTAATGGTGCCTTGGAACACCTGGAAGGCTTTTAAAAGCTCAATGGCTGGGCCCTCCTCCCAGAGTTTCTGAGTCAGTAAGTCTGGGGTGGGGTCCAAGAATGTGCATTTCTAACAACTTCCCAGATGCTGCTGAAGTGCTGATGAGCTACGAATGGCTTTCACATTTTTAAAGGGTTGTCCAGGGGCCAGATGGCAGCTCAGCCCTGGCACATCAGCAAGGAAGCTGGACCCATCTGGGAAAGCCCTGGGATTGCATCCCGGGTCCTCCCTCTGCACGCTGGGTTGGCTGGCCAGGGCCACCCTTTGCCTGTTCCTCTGCTAACAAAGAGGGAAGTGTGGATCTGGCGTGAGGACCCTGTTGGTGATGCTTGCTGTTTGCCTGTCTCTTTCTCTGTCTCTCATGGAAGAAAAAAAGAAAAAAAAACTTAAAAAAGAACTTTTTAAAACAGGAATATGAAACAAAGAGTGTGGTCTTATAAGCCTAGAATAGTTACAGAAAATAGTTGTTGAGCCTGGACCCGTGCTGCTCGGGAGGAAGCTTTGAAAGGACACCAATACCTACATCCAGCCTCAGAGAGTCTGTCACGTGGCCTGGCCTGGGTCCGAGGCATTGCTACATTGAAATGTTCCTCCCCAGGGCTGATATGCAGCCAGCGTTGGGAATTACTGAACTGTAATTACTGCCTCAGGAAAAATCTCTCTCTTAAAGAAAGAAAAGCTGGCTGTGGAAGCACACGCCTGCAGTCCCAGCTACTCAGGAGGCAGAGGCCGGAGGCTTACAACACAGCAAGACTGTCTTAAACAGAACAAATATAAATCAATGTCCCCCTCTTACCTGTCCCCTCCCAAGTGAATACACACGAACACAGGATTGCACTTTAATAATAAGCACAAGGCCCACTGTGTGGTTTGAATCCCAACCTAAATGGCTTGAAAAAATTAATCACCCCAAATTTGAAATGAACAGAGTTAAGTGGAACTGTGAAGGGTGGCCTGAAACAGACTGGCGGGGACAGACAGGACCGGATGAAGGATCCAGGTAAGGTCCTCCTCACGTAGCCTGACAGGTCGCAGGGCACAGGGTACAGCTCCAGCCGGGGAAGGGAGAAAGGTGGAGGAGGCTGAGGAGTGGCGGTGGTATTGAGGGCCCTGAGGAAACACCACCAATGCCTCAAGCTCCATCACATGCCCAACATCTCCTGGTTGCCAAGTGAGCATAACTGGGCCCCGACCCTCTAGGATGGACCAACTCCTTCACCCTGCCACCCTTTGCCTGCTCCTCCACAACCAAAGAGGGAGGCTCCGCTCCAGCTTGCTCTCCTGGCCCAATGCTTCGGGGGCCTCCCCCCAGCCTCTCGGGAAAGGCGGGCTGGCCCTCGTACCTGTGCTCTCCTCGGCCTGATTGAAGCCACAGATCTGGCAGATGCTCTGCACCCATCTGTTCATGTCCTCCTCCGTCTCCGCCACCAGGTAGAAGGTGCGCTCGCTGGTCTTGATGTCGAACACGAAACTGTCCTGCAGCTCCTTCTTGTTGAAGGTCAGGCCTGCGTCCACCTGCTCACAGAAGTTCAGGTTGATGATGCGCAGGGGCTTCTTGGAGTGATCGTTCTTGTAGTATTCCAGAACATCTGGGTCCCCGCTCATCCGGCCGCTCCGCAGGATAAACCAGCGTTTCTTCCAGGCCTGGTTCCACCAGGAGGGCACAGGAAGAGGGGAAAAGTCATTAATCATCTCAAATTTTTTAATGAATTCAATTTTTTTTTAATTTGCCAGAGGATATGTATGCTTACTGGAGAGAGGGAGACAGAGAGCCCCCAATACAGTGTGGTCATGCTGTCATCCCTTCTCCAGTCCTTCCCAAACAAGTATGCACCCTATGACAAAACTCAAAAAAAATCGAATTGCTATGATTACCAATTTCTCTCTCTAGCCCATACCCATCTATCGAACCCCAGAGTCTTATATCCAACTGTTCACTCACAGCATCTCAGAATCCACGTGCTCAAAAGTGAGCTCCTGCTATCCCCCAGACCCATCCTTCCTGCGACCTCCCATCTCGGCAACTCCAGCCTCCAGTTGCACTCAGGCCAAAAACCTTGAAGTCACAGTTGACTCCTTCCTTTGATTCTCCACATCAAACCCATCAGCAAATCCTGTCGGTTCAAGACGTTCACAACATCCTCAGCCTGACTGCTCCTCCCCACCACCACCGTGGTTCGCCTGGCCTAGCTCACTGCTTTGCAGTCTCCTGCTCTCACACCCGCTCATCCTGCAGGCTACCCCCAATACTGGAGCCAAAAAGCAGGACATCGAGTAGGGCACGCCACCTCTCAGTGCTAAGTCTCCCACGGCTGCTCATCTCACGCCAGTGAAGTCCAAATGGCCTACAGCCCTAGGTGACTGGCCCTCACCTGCCGCCACATCTGACCAGCCTCTTCTGCCTGGCCACACTGGCCTTAAACAGTCCAGCAGCTCCTGCTTCATGGTCCTTATTCTGGTCATTCCCTCTGCCTGGAATGCACCTCTCCAGACACTCCCATTGCTTACTCTTTCTTTGAATCTTTATCCAAATGCCAGGTTACTAGAGAGGCTATCCCCATCCTTCAATACTCTTATCTGCTTTGCTGGTCTCACTAGCCTTTACACCTAAAATACCAGGGTTTTTTTTTTTTTTTTTACTGTCTGCACCCAACCCTCTGAATGTAAACTGCATCCTCAGTGCTTAGAATAGGGCCTGGCACATAGCTGGTGATCAATAAATATGCATTAAATGAACGAATGAGTTATTTTCTTCCATGAAGTCCTTATAGCAGCAGGTAGATCAAGGGAGGCCATAACTGGTGCCTAGTAGGCTTCGATGGAAATGAAAATTTAGGTGCAATCATGCAGAATATAGAGGTGAGTAAAACGGAAATGCATAAACTGTATTTAGTCACCTACAACCTTGTCCAGGCCACTGCTTTCAGAGCCGTGTCTGCTTGTGTGTGTGCACACAGACATGTGGGGAGTGGGGACCAGGGCACATTTTGAAAAGATAGCTCAGCTGTGTTTCAGTTAACCTACCCCCTTTGGAGCCCATCACTGTACAAAGAGCTGTCCCCAAGTGGCGGCCATTACTGTACAAAGAGCTGTCCCCAAGTCACCGGTGTGCAGGTTCAATCATAAACACACACACAGACACCCCCCTGACCTAGAAAACGTGTTACAGGTAATATCAGAGCCTGTCAGCCTCTGCTTCCAAGAAAGGGGTGCAGGCTGCTAAGTGCCTGACAAATGCAGAGCAAGCAAGACTATCTGGTCCAGTCCCAAAGCTGCACCTGCGGCCACAGCAACCTGCTCTCCAGTTCTACCTGTTAACAAAACTAGCAGTTTGGAGCAGGTACAGGCATCCTAAGCCAGGTACTGGCCTCACTGCCAGCCCCCCTGATACTCCGCACAAATGGACTTCTACTTCTGCTTTCAGAGGGGGCACATCTCAGGGACTTTTCCTGCTGGTGGATTTTTTTTGCTATAGGGCGTGTGTGTTCGCCAGACAGACAGAGAGAGACAGAGAGACAGAAAGCAAGAAATCACCCCCCAGGGGGATGGCCACGCTGCAGTCCCTTCTCCTCCATTCTC